TGTTTGCTGCTACGAGGGCTGTCGAAGTTCGTGCTGCTCGTCGGTACCTACGGATGCGTGGTTGTGGGCTGCGTAGTTTAATCCCGAAGCTCGGTTCTGATACATGCAGTTGACAGAGCAACTGTACGGTGTACAGTGGCCGAAGTCCAACCTTGATAGTCGTGGGTTGACAAAGCACGACTTGAGCCCTGCCTGCTTGCGTTCCTCAAGCAGCACTTTTAAGTGCTATTAAAATATATAGCTGCATCCTACGCCACGCGTAGGACACGGATTAACATGCTTTTCGGTAGCGGTGGGCCAGTAGCCAAACTGCGAGGCACACGAGCGATGGCGTGGAGAGGTCAAGCGGCAACAGAAGCCAGTGCCCGCTGCAAACGAGCGTGCTGATGCTCGCTCTGCGTGCTCAACAAGATATGGTACTCTTTGCTAAAACCGATTTTATAAGACCGCGATTTTATAAGTTAGCATTATCCTGGGAGGACAGCTAGAAGAGCTGTATGGACAGCCTCACACAGATTATCCGGATAATTCGTCGAAAACTTAGGGCTTCGCGGGGGGGGGGGGGGGTGAGATAGCGAAAATAAAACAGAACAGATATACGCACAACGCGGTATTTCCTGTAAGGAAATTAAGTTTTCCTCGAGAAGGACAAAGCGCGTTGTTCAACGATGCCAAGTACAAGACCCGGTTGGCCACGCGAGTAGGATAGGAGCCATTCAAGCTGACGGTTTTCGGGTACGCGTTTTGTCCCCGGCCGAACCTGGCTGTAGTGTTGTCGCAGCAGTTCGTCTTGGCCATTCAAGAGTCGGCGCCGCCGGAGACAAGCGCGACCAGCAGCAACCAGACCACGCTGGCGGCGCTCATCAGCTCTTGAAAAACCCACCTCAACCACTCCCTAGGGCTGCCTCGCCTCGATCCACTTCACGGACCTCGCCAAGGCTCGCCTTCATTAACCCAAGAACGAACTGCTTGTCCCCCACAACGTGCTTTGGTATGATGATAAGGAAATACCAGATAAGCAGCTTCTTAGTGCAATAACCCACTTGCGATAATATCAATTTACTTTCTTACCTCCGCGCTGTTAATAATCAAATACAAGCAAGCTATTAGCTGCAACAGCGCCCTGCCAAGCACTTACCTTCGTGCTGTAACTTGTAACTTGAGACCGACTAGATAATTATTTAGATGACCTATTAGGGGGAGTCGAACCTTAAAAATGGCGACAAAAATATCAACAGAGACGGGGCCGAATAATCAGCAACGTTCTGCCCCAAAAATCAACAAATCAAAGTAGGGTACTCACTCTCAGTTTTCGCATGTAGTTGGTGAAATCAGTGAATTATCACTTCCTTTTTCGCCAGCACGCGCAGGCTCTTGCTTAGTGCATATACATCTTCTTATATTCAGCTTTATACCTAGCAATGGCCGACTCTAACGTAACACTGTCCAGCAGCTCACAACGTCTCCATCATCGCGAGTTGACATCTAAAACTTGTTTATAGTGATAGTGAACATGTTTATTTGGAGAGGATTCGTGTGAAAACTTGCCTAAACACATACACAACAATTTCTAGTTGAGGAGGGACTTCAAAAACAGCTGAAATTGTATCAGAGGTCGAGGAGGGAACAGCAAGCGGTACCACTTGAAGTTCGAAATCATCATGATGATTTTGAAAATCAACAAGGTTTCGCCGAAATAATCAACATCAATTCGCCCTAAAAATCAGCACGTTTTATGCCAGGTTCGACTCCCCCTATTAAGTTTACTTTCATAAAATTTCAATATATGATGGATACTTAAACAGGTGCGATACACGCACGGCTTCATGCGACACCGATTTAATCGTGTGCCGGCTGCGTAGCAGCATACCTTACGGTACACATGCTATCTCAGTAAAAGGTGCTTGTATTAATATTGTGAAAACCGGCAAAGATGTCCAGATTAGCTTGATTAGGAGGGGTCGAAAAAATATAAAAAGGGATACGTGTGCAAATCCCTATCAAATGATAATGAGAGCCTAGCTTCCTGAGCTGTACCATATATAAATGGCCGCAGAGGTGCACTGCATCGTGCAGCGGGCTAGAGCAAGCGTATAAGCAGCCACTCGTGCCAAATTTCAGCCCCGTGAATACAGACAACGACGGATAAATCCGGCACCACTGAATGGCATCCTCCATAGTAAATGTGACAGAATTCTCTGTCAGGAACGATAGAGATTGTACAAGGCAATGACATAAAATACACGTAACGGAGCATAAAGTACACACAAATTTAGAGAAAGTACTTAAAACCATATGGAATACAAATGTCAAGTGTAAATCTCGAAGTTGATTGGCTATCTGAATTACTTATTGTAAAAAGTACAACATATGTGTGCCGGGTTTTGCGTTGCCGTATTTATCCGTCGTTGTCTGTAGTTCAGACGCAGACACATATTGCATGTACCCATCGGGTGTATCATGCATACGGCAGCGTCGAGTTTGCCGTCCACGTTGACATGGGGCACCGTTCATATAAACGAGCTACCTCATAATGCCCAGTGTCACATGGGCATTCGACGTGATTTGATTATAAATCGACGGCAGTCCGCGGTATATGAACAGGGCTGGGGAACGCCAAATCGGAGTAGCATCCTATTTATATACTAGTATAACAAAACAAGGTCTCAGCCGCTTAATAAGCACCCACATCGATCGATTTGCAAAAAAATAGGACATAGTGTTCGGTTTTCACAATACCTCAGGCAACATTTTTAAATGTTTAAAAACAACATTTCGCCACACTATAATTACACAATCGTACACCATACTTACACAAATATATCCATATTGACATCCCGACCGGTACCACACAAAGCCAATTGACAATGAAATGAGGACAGCGTTAGCGACAAGAGAATGCAGTATGACCAATCAGCCTACAACTACACTGTATTCCATATATGTAGTTCCTAGTTACTGACGGATAACTGAGGACGTCTTACGTCCACGCAGCTGAGCTCTTGGCCTACAAATTAAACCTGTCCGCCTGGATCTCGGGCAGCCTCGCTGGCATTAGATCATCGGCTCCATATAAAAAATGGTGGTCGGCGCTGCAAACGCTTACGTCCTTAGCTCTTGGCCTACAAACTATAAAATCTGTCCGGTAGGCAGCTTCGCCGGCAGTAGATAGTCGGCTCCATATAAAAAAGGAAAATTCCGGAATATGTCACAAAATGAAATTTTGTGCGAAAGGTGATACAAGGCTTTGTGCCAAGTGCATTTGGCCACCGATAGCGGCTAGCACCTGACTGCCATGCACGTCGCTGAATGCACCAATTGTGTCAGTATAGCACGGGGTAAACGCGAAGACGTTGTGCAGCGGGGCTGCCGTAGCTTCTTGCGTAGAGGAAGACTTTACGACTCAAAGAGTCCAACAGGGTCCTATCCAAGGACCCACGAAAACAAGTCAGAGACTTCTTGCAAAAGGCAAACTGTATTCATTCTCTTATCTGCGGCTCCGCCGCCTACGGTGCAAATACCTGCACTTACTATCGACATAACTAACTCTAGTTCATTCTCAATGACTGGCCAGTGGCCCAGGGAGTAACCCTTGGTGTATCGCACACCAAAAGGGTAACCAAAAGGGTAACCTCCGTGTAACCCCGTTACACGTTGCCGGTGTAGGCATCGCCCTCTGCCTAATAGTTGTTATGGTGGAGTATGGTCGCCTTCTGTGTCCCTTAAGCGACACTGCCCATGCTACATAAAGCATGCTTGGATGCCTTACTCCCCATGCCGCCGCTGGAGGCAACAATGTCGTGGCCCAATGCCCTAGCAAATGCTGCCGAGCCTAAAATATGTGCTCTCGACACAAATCCTTCTATCACCTTTTGCACAAATTTTAATATTGAGTCACCTTCCTGAAATTTCCCTAAGAAAAATGATGGTAGGCGCTGCAAATGAGGGGCTTCGCCCCTCATTTGCTACTTGCATGTGAATATAGTACGTAACCACTGTTTGGTACTGCTAGTGCATGTATTGATGGTTGTTGTTTTGGATTTGGCTTAGCTTTGTAGTGGCACCAAAACACTCGACCACTCAGTAGGCGAAGTATTACATAAAAATACGTGCAGTGATGCTATTACAGATGACCACGGAAAAATACGCCAGCGCTGACCATCATCCTCTAAAAATACGCCACTCACGCTGATTGGCCGAAAGTATTCTTTGCGTTCTAGAAAAGGGCCGATTATGTATAGAAGGACTAGTGATCTCGCAAAAGAAAGTCCATATTGTTTGTGGTTATTGAGCTCGGCAGCTTTAAAAGCTGCGGAGAAACAGTTTTCTTAAACCTATTGTTTCATTCTACAATAACAATCAATATACTTGACGAGTTCTTGTGCGCTTTCTCAGTGCTCAGGCCAGTCTATGCTTAAAAAGAACCAATTCTGGCATACAATAATAGCAACATTGACCAAGCGTTAGTCTGATGGTAACTTAGTGCCTTAGGTACAAACAAACGTATGCTTAGATGCACATCCCATCGATGAGGTGTTTATAGGCTCGCAGAGCTACTCCAACCAATATTTCTGCAAATTTTATGGGTTTTAGGAGAACCTCATTGGCTATAAATACATGTGACTATTTGTATCGGATCAGTCATCTGGATTTGCATTTTTGGTGGAGCGTATTTTTCCGTCGTTATCTGTACTGCTGCAGCGCTCCATTCTGGAAGTGATTGCTACACGCGACTACGTGTACCGTCTTACCCCGCACACTGCGCCTAGGCGCTCTATTCGAATATTTGAATTTCGAAGTTTGGAGATAAAAATACGATTAAAACGCTCGTTGGAATATAACGCCGAACACCGTTCTCGGTTAAGTCCGGTTCTAGTAAATAAACCACTGTCAACCAGTGACTTGGTCCAAGTCGAGTACGGGCGCCCTTGCCACTCGTTCTAACTCCTACGACGCGGACAAGTTCTACAACTGCAAAATCCATATCCAATTCTGCAGCGATGGACGCGAGCAAGGCTAAACAGAAGCGCAAGAGCTACACTATCAAGGACAAACTCGCCGTGATTGCCGAACACGAGGAGGGCGTCAGTGGCAGCGGCTTCCATGCGCTCGGTATTAAGCACGACGTCGCGCCAGGCACGCTGCGAGGCTGGTGGAATGACCGCCAAAAGCTGCATGAAGCCTCCAAGGATCGCCAAGTTGCAACGAGAACGGCGCGTCGTCTAGGAGGCGACGGGCGCGGCCCCAAGCACGGCAAGATGGAGGAGCGACTCCCCGCCTGGATCCTCGATAGGAATGCCAAGGGACTTCGTGTGAAGGACAGCTACATACGGCTGCAAGCGCAGAACATCTACCGCAAGCTACACGGTCCCGACGCGCCCAAGTTCGATGCATCTACGGGGTGGCTGGTGCGCTTCAAAAAGACGAAGCAACTCGTCTCTCGCCGGCAAACAACGACGCGCACGCTTTCCGGCGATGCTGCAGAGACCTGCCGGGACTTTATCCAGCGCGTGCAGCAGCTTTTTGCCACGCACAACATCCAGTCGAGAAACATCATCAACATGGACCAAGTGCCCCGTTACTTTGAGACGGAACCTAAGACCACGATTGCGACGAGAGGCTCGCGTGAAGTTCTACTGCGGAAGGGCGGAACAAGTCACAAGGTAGTTTCAGGTGGGGCGTCAGGGCAGGACTTACGTACACAGTCTATTTTCGGTGATATCTTGGAGTTTGTATAGGCAGCCCATCACCCAACAATGTGACGATCTTCCCGCAGGACGGATGTCATCCGCGGGAAATGGCTTTGCTCCGCTAAGGCAGTCGCTGTGCTCCTGCGATAAAAAAGATTCTCTTACCTGGCGAGAACAGTGCTCGGCTCGCTGGAATGATCGTCGCTGGGCCCGCCTCCGCAAATACCGCGCGGGTTTGCTGCGGCTACGCTCCTCTGGTCCTCTTCTAAATCACATTCCCCCCCATCAAAAAAGACTGTGTACTCCCGGGGCGTCAATCGGGCACAGATAAAATTGGCTCGTCTCGTAGCCTCCAAAATACAGTTATTGTAATTATTGTACTTAATAACAATTAATGTAATATGCGCTCGGCGTTATTGCTATTGATTACTGCGAAAATCACTTCATTTTCGCCTATTTTGCTCATAAATCGATCGATATTAGCACCCTGATTTCGTCCCTGTGAGTGATGTAGCGATATAAACGGATCGATTTAAACCCTGATTTGCAGTCTGATTAATTATGTGAGCGAGATCTAATAGAGGGTTGCTATAGGTGCCTAATTTTGACCAGTTTTTACAATATAACAATACCAATATTTGAATTTTACAATATAACAATACCTATATTTGAATCCAAAGGTGCGATAATTTCTTAAAACTCAGGTGGATACACCAGTGGCTTGAAGCCGACGGCGTCTTCCCCTCGCGATACAGTATCGGCAGCAATGAGCAAGGTGTGCTTGCCATTCTTCGCGCCCGTCGTTGCCGGCCGCCGAGTCTAACCCTTTCGTGCCGTGTCGCCGTGCTGCAGGAGGCGCTGGTGACGTTGCTGGCGCGCGAGATGGATCGCGTGGCGCGCAACGCCGAGAACTGGCAGGAGCGCATGGCGGCGCTGGGCGAGATGCAGCGCGCCTTCGAGCAGTTGGAGCGAGACCCGCCCGCGGGCACCGTGGCCGCCAGCCTGAGCACTGAGGTCTGGAAGACGCTGCGGCCGCTCAAGGGCATGGTGCAGGACCTGCGCTCGCAGATCGTCAAGGAGGTCTGCGCGCTGCTGACGACCATGTCGCGCGTGACGAGGGACGCCATGGCCCCGTTCCTGCGCGACGTGCTGCCCACGCTCGTGGAGGTGCGCGGCAGCGGCAACAAGGTGTGCGGCACGTACTGCGGCGAGTGTCTCGAGGCCGTCGTCACGCAGACGGTGGTCAAGGGCGCCACGCTGCGGCTCTTCGTGGACATCCTGCTCGAGAGCAAGAACAAGCTCATCCGGCTCTGCTGCATCTCGTGTCTGCGCCGCGCGCTCGTGTCGTGGAGCCCCGTGATGGACAAGAGTGACGTGCAGCAGCTCGAGAAGGGGCTGCAGCACGCGCTGTACGACGCCAGCTCCTCGTGCCGCGCGCAGGCGCACGAGCTGTTCCTGGCCTTCCACACGCTCTTCCCTAAGCGCGCGCTGGTCGTCATGAGCATGGTCGACTACAAAATTCAGAAACGCCTGGAGGCGCTCGTGTCGTCGGATGTGGCCGAGTCGGTTAGAGGCGCGGGCTCGGCCTCGAATGCCAGTGTGGACGAGAGCGTGGCTTCCGTGCAGCAGGTACAAGCGCTGGCAGGCCTCAACTTGGACGTTGGCGACCGCGTATGCATCCCAGACAAGGAGCTGTTCGGCTTCGTGCGGTTTTTGGGCGAAATTATGGGCGTGAAGGGAGTGTGGGTCGGCATCGAGCTGGACGAAGCGTACGGCAAGAACGACGGCAGCGTCAAGGGGCGCTACTACTTCCGCTGCAAGCCCAAGCACGGCGTTTTCGCCCGCCCCCACCAGGTTTTCCTTACCATGTCGGGCGCTAAGCTGCATGAGCACCAACTTCAGCAACAACAACAGATTCAAGACGGCATGGGCGACAGTTTCGATCAAAAGACCACTGCTAGTGCAGCAGAGCTCGGAGACGAAGCGAACGGGAGTATTCAGCCGCCTTTGACACCCGAGGGAGCAGTGCCGCCGTTTCCTAGCACCCCACCACCAGCACCAGCGCCTGCTTCGTCGTTGAACTTACCCACTCCGACCGATACACCGGAGCCCTCGAAGCTGAGTTTGGTGCTGAGCCGAGCCTCTGTGGCTCACCGACGGTATCTGAACCGCCTACTAATGCATGTCCGCGCGGAGCTGGAGGAGCACGAGCGTTTTGAGAATTACGGAGCAACCGCTAGCTCGGCCGATGCCGTCCAGTACCTGCAGCAACTTCAAAACAGCGCGCAGGACAAGATCGTTCTCTCCGATGAGTTTATCCAGCAGATCATTCAGGCGCAACAAGCCGCGAGAGAGTCATAAAGAAGTCAAAACCACACAAGTAGCAACTCGCGTCAGTACAAAAGTATAGCCCTGGGGGTGTCCGGACTGTCGTTAGATGAAGCTCTACAGGTGAGTCAGCGAGGCAAAACTTTTTGTTGCAATCTTAGACCTTTGTATTTCGCTCTGAAATCACGTGGGGAACGGGCGGATGGCCCGACGGGTTGGAATAGTGTGCGTCCAGCGGTAAATGCTCAGAGTCGATGAAGCTGTCTGTCGACTGGTCTACCCGTTCGTCTCTGGAGCTTTTGCCGTGCCTGTCGTTATCGTCACTGTCTAAGAAGCTTCGTGAAGCAAACGATAGACGTCGATCGTAACTTCCATCAAGCATTGTCCCCCGCCCATTTGAAGCCCACGATGAAACACTAGTCGAGGCAGGATCACTCAACATTGTCCCTCCTCGCGGGTTACTGCTGGATAGCCAGCTGTCCTCGCTCAAAAACGTCGTTCCGCGCTCCGACCACCAGAAGCTTGCACTCCCGTAGCCATCTTCACTTAATTGGGTTGGATTGCTCTCTTCACTTGAGACTGACGCCACCGACGCTGACGATGCAGGCAAGAGCATCGAGCCCGTGGTGGAACTTGCAGCACGAACAAGTAGGGAGCGATGTTTCCCGTCGCCCTTCTTCTTGTTTTTCCTCGACGTCGAAGTCATGCCAGGGTACAGGCCAGTTTCCTGGAAAATGGTTTGCTTTTCTCGCTCGATGGCAAGCCGCGCTTCGGCCACGGCTTCTGCAACGTGCTTCTCGATGAACTTCTTGGCCGCCGACGCCTTCAGCTCCTCAAGCAATTGCTGATCACTCTGGGCGGATTCGGAGCGAGCACCTCCAGCTTCAGTGCTTGACGCTTCCAGACCATCCCTGCTGCTACTTACGCTGCTCCCGCTGGCAGTGCGCCTGTGCTTCTTGACGTTTTGTAGTTGCGCATGAGCATCTGATAGGAGCTTCTTCTGACCGATTCGCTTGGCAAGCCAATCCTGCGCCTCACCTCGCGCCTCCTGTGCAACGAGAGTCAGAGTCGCACGCTCTTCTTCTCGAAGATATTCCAGCGTCGTCGGCGACAGCGTTGGTGGCCGTGGAAGAGCTCGAAGGTACTGAGCTGTCTCCAACGGCACGGACTCAGGCGGTGGACGCGGAACAGTTATCCGAAGCGGGGGCGACACTCTAGCTTCCGTTGATCGTGTCGATACATCCGCAGGCGAATATTCAGCGGAGACGGTCTTGTACGGGGGCAACCGGTCACTGCTACCAGAGGTTGGGTGCAGCGGCGGTGGCCGCTGCTGCTGCTGACTATCACCTGCCAGTGGCAGCTCCGCGTCGCAGCCGACACTGGTGGATCGACGGGCGCCAGACGGACTAGCAACGTCAACTCCACTTCTCTCTCTTCTCCACACCTCCATCAGCCTTGATCGTGCATCACGAGGGCTCACTCCCCACTGATCAGCCACGTCCGAATGGGCTGAGTGTTCAAGCTCGGGGTCGTCCAGTAAGCACGCCAGCAGCTCTGGATCGCGCACATTAAAGTGCACTGCGAGCTGTAGAAGCCCAACACGAGCACGAGGCATCAGTGCCCTTGTCCGCGCGCCACCACGCACCAGCGCGCGAAAGGCTGCAGCATTCTTCGACTCCAGAGCCAGCATCAAGGGATTTTGTGGGCACGAAGCGACCAGTGTGATAGCGCTTGGTCTTGCTCCACTATGTGAAAGAAACTCGCTCGACTCGCCCTCTCCTTCTTCGTCTTCGTACGCATTACCTTCCGTCCAGAGATTGAGGTCTTGACCGTACCGCAGGAACAGCTCAATGAAGATATCACTGCATTCCTCGCGCAGAGCGATGTGAAGCGGGGCTAGACCGACGTTGTTCCAGTTTCCAGCATCAACACGCTCTTGGAGCAGCAATTCCACAACAAGACGCATAGCAGCGCTGTGAGGCCACGCACTTGCCAAATGAAGTGCCGAATCGCCCAGCAAATTGGTCATTTCTATCAGTTGAGCGCATGTTGGGCCTACAGCTGGGCTCCGCACTTGAAGCTCACGTGAAGCATACAGCAGCAGCAAGGCGTTTTCAGCCGCACCTGCAGCTAGTGCAGAATGTAATGGTGCCTCCGCACGAGAACCCATAGGGCGTATGAGCACTTGAGCGGCCGCCGTAGCATCGGAAGTCAGTACAAATGCCAATAGCAGCCGGAGTAACGCTGAAGAAGGTCCGCCCGCTGCTGCCACGTGAAGTGAAGAAGTTGCCATCAGCTCGTCATCTTTACAAACTCTGGGCGGGGTGGACTTCGTGGGGGTGGCAGTCGTCGGTAGATGAATCACCAGTGGTAATGTCGACAGAGAGACAGATGCGGGCAACATGCCATCGCCGACAACCTCGGTCACTGCAGATTTGGTACTCAGCTGGAGAAATCTCACGACAAGAGCTTGTATCCCACGAAGAAGAAAGGTACAAGTCTCTCTGTCCTCCTTGCTTTTCGCATACGTACTTGATGAGTCGTCTCCATCTCTACGCGTTGCCTCCCGCTTCAGCTGCTTCCAGTCTCCATCACTTCGAGATTTTGCGCGATCACGCGTCCAGGTTGACGGGAACGAGTTAGAGCTCGCTGATCGAGCTTTCTTTTGGTCGCCAGACTCGTTGCTCTCAGTATCGGCGAGTCCTCCAGAATTGCGGCTTGAAGCGATCGACTTGTTTGAGGCCACGCTGGCACTAGCGTTAGCTTTGGTGCTTGATCCCAACCATGAGCTTATTTGCACCAACACAGGAAGCAGCCGTGCTGGATACAGCTGACGTTGGCTATCCTTGTCTTGGCCGATGCAATCGAGAAAAAGTGCTGCTAGCTCGAGTTGCCCAGCTTGGAAGGCCAACATCACCACGGGCCTTCCCGTCTCACCATCTACCCACCAAGTCTTGCTTGAATCCTGATTTTGCTTCTTCTGGTATTGATCCACGAGAGCTGCAGCGAGAGCGTATAAGCCGTAGCGGACTGCAAGTGCCAACGGCGACGCACCTCGCGCATCAACCGCATAAATATCGGCCTTATGAGCTATCAGAGCTGCAGCTGCGAGCTCCAGTCCAGCCTTGATGGCAATATGGAGAGCGCTATCATCATCGCTGATGACCGCATTCCTTCCCACGTCCTCCTCGTTTTCACTATCGCATTTCTCCACAAATGCGTGACTCCACTTACAACCCGACCCAGAAGGTGAGGCACCGGAGGCGAGCAGTAGCGCTACGACCTCCTGTTGGCCGCTCTTGAGTGCTAGTGACAGCGGGGTGTCGTTGCTTCCACGCCGACCAGCTCGGCCATCAAGGCCTCCAGTTGGCGCTGAGTGGCGGTAGACTTGAATAAGCCGCGCTATAAGGGCCACAGGCGCACGTACTTGGATTGCGAGATGCAGCGCGGTGTTTCCAAAAGCATCGTAAGATCGCGGGTCCACTGCCCCTCCGGCCACCAAGGCATCTACGACACGCCATTGTCGCGCGCCAAGTGCGATATGCACCACAGGCTCACCGCGCGCGTCGCATTGATGCACCGCCTGGGCATTCGACGACAGTGCTGCTTCCACGAGCACCAGTGCTACGGACTCTTTCCCCGCCTTTATGGCAATATGAAGCGCCGTGTCGCCTGCCGCGTTGACGTGGTCTAGATAGGTCACCAACTGCCGACTCGATGTCCTGCCCTGACTCCCCGAAGACGCACCAACTCCCGTCACAGCAAGTAGTTGCTTGACCCCCTCGAGATCGCCCAGCCAGCAAAAATACATAAGCAAGTTCCATCGAGCCGCGTCGTCCGCCTGCACTTCGCAACACTGAAACATGGCACTTTCATCGCCATCGCTGTCGATCTTGTCGTGAAGAAGCAACCGCTTCCGCAGTCGCCGCCTTTGGTGATGCTCCTCACTTTTCTCCTTCTTCTCGCTAGAGGAAGGTGTAAACACCACTTGGGTCGCGTAGTCCCAATACAGGAGGCTGCGTGGATCTGCACCGGCGTTTAATAGCACGGCAATCATACTCTCGAAGCTCGGCACGCGAGGGTCTTGCAAGAACGCTAACTGCAAAGCTGTCACCATTCCTCGTGGCGGTTGCTTAACCTGGCTCCGTCTCCGCGAGGCATCCTTTCCGTCTTTCGGTAGGGAGATCCGAGGGATGCGAACACGAACGTTCACCTTGGCACCGGCAGCTATGTAGCGACGTACTTTGGTCATCGACGGCAGGCGGTCTCGCCGGGAAAGCTCGAGATACAGCGCAAAGGTAGCGACGTGGTCTCGGATGGAGATGAGTGTATCGGACGCCTCGCCCCCGCCGAGCACCAGTGTCTTGATGTCTTGGCCGGCAGCGCCACTAGGGTTGCTATGACTGTTGGACGACGGCGTGAGTGTTGTCAGGAACTTGAGCGCCAGAGCCGCCTTGCGAGCTGAGGACGAGTCTACATCACTTACATGTTCTAGCTCCAGCGACACGAGGTCTTGCAGATCGTACGTCTTGATATTGGCTGCAGTCGCTGCAGCTGTGACTGCTGACGAGGACGCAGAGCTGGAGCCTTCAGCCCCACGAGTGCTGGCACTGGTAACAGAAGCGGTGGACCCCGAGCTCGACGACGAGTGCACGTGACGGAAACTCCTGGACGTCAGACTGCGCTTGTGCATCTCCAGCACCCCCCAGCGCAGCAGCAGGTGGCGCGCTCGCCAGCGTCCGAGCCAGCTCTTCGACTTCTTCATCACTTCGGCCTTGAACTCGCGCAGCACCGGAGCAGAAGCACCAGCAGTTGCTGCTGCGTCATCAGAGCTGTTGTCGCTACCGCCAGTCGCGCCCGGGACGAACGTGGCGATGCTGGGACGGCGCTCCGGCTTGGGCTCGACGCAGGGCTCGAGCGGGAACGGATCTTTCGCCACGAGCCTCGTACTGCCGTACTGGCGCACCAACACACGCTTCAAGCCTTCGAACGTGACGACCACAACGTCATTGCCGTGGGATTCCTCCTCCTCCTCCTCCTCCTCCTCCTTCTGCTGCTGCTGATGCTCTGCGTGGCTCCTGCCCCCGTCCTTCTTGGCGAGCGACGCGCACAGCGCCGAGAAGGCCGCGGGCTGCTGCGCGTACTGCGGGAAGTAGAGGCTCAGGAAGTCGCGCAGGTCGGAGCGGCGCCATCGCGTCTCTCTGCTGCTAGTGCTCGTGTCTGCGCCCCGGTTGCTGCTGCTGCGGGCGAGCGCCGCCGCCTCGTACGGCCGCCGCAGAGCCTCCAGGAAGGCGTCCTGGAAGCTGCGCGTCGGCGGCTTCGCCAGCTCCTCGCGGGCCTGCAGCAGCTGCGCGTGCGCTGTCGCGAGCGCCTTGTCGAGCGCCGCCATGGGCTGCGGGCTAGAGAGCGCGGCGGCCGAGGCGTAGCTTAGCTGCAATCGGGCTCATTTACCCGATGGCAAATGATTGCAAAGGGGTATTTACGAGGGTATCAAAAGTACGCGGAAACTTGTCCTCTCGATCGGTACATTGTGCCATTTCGACAGGTTAGGGGTAGGAGAAGGCCGGACCGGTCCGCGGTTAACCGCTCATCCGATGGCCCGCGGGCGCAGCACCAGCCATTCGCCTCGAGCGCCGCAGCTGAGCCCACATTGCCGCCTGCCAACCTGGGCAGCTCCATTTCGCCTTTAAGAAAAAACTAAAGACAACCATGGCTGTCGGTGAGTGACCCTTTCCGATGTGCGGCGAACCCAAAGTGGAGCGCGATCCGTCCGTCGTCTCGTCGCTCGCTCTCCCCGCCCCCACCCCACAGCGACGACGAAACAGAGCGCGCAAAGCCAGTAGCAGCAGCCAGCAGGAAACTCAATAAAGCAGGAGTCAAAGCGTTGAGAAGCGCCTTCCGCCGGTGCAGACAGGAACCACAGCGAAACGGGGGCAGGGAGCAACACACTGGGTGTATGGAAAAGCATCGGAGGCGACGGAGGATTGCGATCGACTTTAGCAGGCGCCAGCGCAGCAGCAAAAGAGAACCACAGCAAGCGACGCGATCTCTCTAACTGGTGGATCTTGTCGTGTGACTGACTGCAGGAAAGAACAAACGCCTGACTAAGGGCAAGAAGGGCGGCAAGAAGAAAGTGTACGTCCCATCAACAACAACATCAAAAGCAGCATTGGATCTAGACCATAGATCTGGAACACACAGGATCCTAATTGTGTGCCGTTTTATCACCTCTGCAGCGTTGACCCGTTCGCCCGCAAGGACTGGTACGATGTGAAGGCCCCCGCCATCTTCTCGGAGCGCACCTGCGGCAAGACCCTGGTGAACCGCACTGCCGGTACCAAGATTGCCTCGGAGGGCCTTCGCGGCCGTGTGTTCGAGGTCTGCCTCGCTGACCTGAACAAGGACGAGGACCAGGCTTTCCGCAAGATCCGCCTCTGCGCTGAGGAGATCCAGGGCAACCAGGTTGTGACTGGCTTCCACGGCATGGACTTCACCCGCGACAAGCTGTGCTCGCTGATCCGCAAGTGGCAGACGCTGATCGAGGCCTTCGTGGACGTCAAGACGACGGACGGCTACCTGGTGCGTCTCTTCTGCATCGCCTTCACCAAGAAGCGCCCAAACCAGATCAAGAAGACCACCTACGCCAAGACGGCCCAGATCCGCGCCATCCGCAAGAAGATGACGTCGATCATGACGGAGGAGGCCTCCAAGTGCGACATCAAGGACCTGTTCCTGAAGTTCGTGCCGGAGATCATTGGCAAGGAGATCGAGAAGGCCACCCAGGGCATCTACCCGCTCCAGAACGTGTACATCCGCAAGTGCAAGATCCTCAAGAAGCCCAAGTTCGACCTGGTGCGTCTGATGGAGCTCCACGAGGGCGGTGCCGAGGAGAAGGGCGCCAAGGTCGCCCGCGAGGAGGACCAGCTGGTGGAGTCGATGGCTGGCGCTGGTGGCCGTCTGTAAGCGCGTCCATTTGCGTGACAGCTCGGTGACACAGTTGGGCATGGTTTTTGTTGTCGGCGAAGGAAGGAAAGCGGCCTGGGCCTCGCGCCCGAGCAGTACTTGTTTCTAAGACGATGGAGAATAAAGGCGAAATTCTAATCCAATTGGTGTTCCACGGCACGCGTTACTGTGTAAGCCACCGATATGTACTCTGTAGCAATCTGTTTGTCCTTCTACCGTAGTTGACACAGGCAACCGCAATGTTCTCTTTCATTGCAGCGATGCAGAGTAGCTCTCTCTTTCTCCTTATGACGAGCGTTCTCTCTCTCTTTTGCACCGATAGCCAACTCGTCCTCACGCTTATTAAGGATCTTGCTTATCATGCGATTTGGTAGGTCTGGAATATCATTCAGCATTCAGACGACTGGCAGACAGCAGACACAGCAGTACGGCAACGATGGCAGCCCGCGTGACCAAGCTCTTCCTGCAGAACTGCGCCCCGAAGAAGGAGGACACCAGCAAGACCGGCAAGCGCCCGGCGACCAAGGGCAAGGCGGCTGTCACCCAGGCATCTACGTCCAAGAACGCCAAGAGGAAGCTGCGTCAGAAGAACAAGAAGGTCTCTGCCAAGGTGCGCGTGCTCGAAGAGGCACGGCGCGAGCTTGAGAAGGCCGACCGCACGGCCGAGAACCTGCGCAAGCTCAAGAGCAAGGCCCCCACCAAGTCACAGCGCCTCATGACCAAGGTACGCCATTGTTGCCGCCGAGTCACTTTTTGTCGCCCAAGCTAAAGCGCGCTGGTTGTTTTGCTTGTTGCCAGGTTCTCGCCCAGCGGAATGCTGCCTTCCGGTAAAATACTCGACTCCGTTCTGCGCACAAGCTGCTGCTTTCCGACAGCCTTGTAATGACGCCGCAATCTACGCGCGCCAAAGGTTGAGACGATACGGCTCGACGGAAGGGTTTTAGTTTTCGGACTGCGGGGCAAGTTTCATGTATACATCATACACTTTTCATCTCCGCGGAAGTTTCTTTAATGCAATTGGGTTAGGCTGGTTCACCTTTGTAAGCTGCTTGAAGGACAAGCGCTGATGCACCGGCGGCCAACGCATGCAAGAGAGGCTTCTTCGTAACGCGTTTGTTGTGCCTGACGAAGGTCTCGATGCAGTGTTCTGTTTACTCGTCGTGCTTGCCGGGCGCAGAGGGCTTGATGCCGCTCTGGTGCACGTTCACCTTCACCGTGTCCAGGTCCTTGAAATCATCCTATGAATGCAACGGCAGCAACGGGATGATGACAGCATTAGTAGATAGCCCAGCAGTCCCGCCACCATTCGGGAATGAGCCCCAACAGCGAGGGACAAGCACCACTATGTGGTACATACCCGGCTCATCTGGTAGAAGGTGTAGCCAAAGACGGCGGACGCGAAGGTGGCGAGGCTGCCGCCCAGGATGAAGTTCTTGGCGCGCACCGACAGAGCCATGGTGGAAGCGAGGTCAGCTTGCTCGTCTTCTGCTTGTCTTTGCTTATCTTTTGTCTCGACCTCACACTCGACTTAGTTGCGATTGTGTGCGCCACACCATCGCAATGTGGACACAGAAGTCTTCGCTTCGCCAAACTCGCCCAGTGTCAGCATCCACTGCGAGTCCCCGCAGTGCAATTCAGAGGAATTGCCAATTCTTCAGCATGGCAGGCAGCTCGACGTTGGCGTCTTGGTCAGCTGGCTGATGCACCAGGCGGACATGCAATTTACCAATCCGTTCTGCACGAACGCAGCAGCCTGCACCCTCCATGAAGTCCAAGCGCACCTGCAGACACGGCTCGAATCTCCAGGAAAAGCCCCGCAAGCTCGACAAATAGCAAGTGTCTGCCGCTCGGCAGTGGTGGACACGAGCGATATCCAGGTTGAGCCATCATGTCTTTAGTTGAAGTGGCCGTCGTCCGTCTCCCATCAGCTTGGCCAGCACTGCCATCGCGTCGCTGCCATGAGGTGAACGGAGTCCGCACATGACTCCTAACGCATAGCGCTCCGCTCCGCTGCACGACGAGCTCCGCGGCGCAACGTGACAAGGCGCCGCAAATAGCGAGTCAGTGGTTTCAGCGGCTCCTGTAGCCATTACGGATTTAGCCTCGTCGTGATTGGGCTTCGAGGCGGCGTAAACACGGACCGACTTTCGGCCAATCCAGGCTCCTCCACTGGACCCACCGAGCAGAAGGCAGCCATTCCAGCACTAACGGCCGAGGTCGCGGTCTATTCTCGCCCCGAGCAGCAGCGCCGTCGCCGCTCAGCCCCTCGACCCATCCAGCCTCCGCAGCAGCTACCGACAGAAGATGGCGTCGTATCTGCCGTTCGCGCACAAGAATCCGTTCCGCACGAAGCGGAAAATGTCGGGGCCCGTGGGCTCCTGGGGCCCGCTGGACGAGAAGAACGCCGTGTCGTGGCCCGAGATCAACGGCGGCCCCGTGACCGTCGGAGGGGGACGCAGCCCCAGGCACTGGTGCGACTCGGTGGACTACCGCGAGGTGGCCAGCTTCGTGCTCTTCGCGCTCTACATGGTGGCGGACGTGGGCCTCGGCGTCATGGTCTGGGTCACCTTCTTCAAGTTCATCGTCGAGCCCGACCAGCACCGCACGCGCGCAACGTGGGGAGGCATCTGGCTGCTCTTCGCCGGCACCTTCTTCTACGTGCGGCGCCTCGTGCGCTCCCGCGTGGACGTGCACCTGCGCGGCATGATGGACCACGCCGAGATCTTTGTGGCCATGTCGCTCGTCATGGTCTTCTCTGTCAACATCGCCTTCTACCTGCACGTGCCGGCCACCACGCCGCTCAAGGATCTGGGGTTCATGTTTATCCCTGAGCAGGGTCTCCACTCCAAGTGGCGCCCCGTGAGCGACATCTTGACGGCTGGCGTCCCCGTCATGTTCCTGCTGCAGACCATTTTCATGACGCGCCCCAACCGATGCCGCATCGTGTCGTCATTCTTCCGCGTCGCCACGATCTGCTACTTCCTGCGCATGTTGACGGTGTCCGTGACGTCGCTTCCCGGACCTGCCCCGCACTGCCGCGCCGGCAGCCCAGACTACTTCCCACCGCAGACGTGGATCGACATTGTTACGCGCGTTGGGCCTATCTACGGCAACTACAACTCGTGCGGCGACCTTATTTTCTCGGGCCACATGGCGTACACGAACTCGGCCGTGCTGCTGTACCTGCGGACGCTGGACCGCAACTTTGCCGGGCGCACTGCCTCGAAAATTCGCTGGGCGTGCGGCATGGCGTACTTGATGATCCTGGCCGCGCTGTGCATTGCCGGCCGCAAGCACTACACGGTGGACGTCGTGCTGGGTCTAATCATCTCGACGCTGGTGTTCTTCCACTTCGAGCACAGCTGGACACCTCTGTGCTTTCAGGTGCCGCACGGACTGCTGCCGCTGGGTGACCTGCAGCGGCTCTACGGCTCGCAGTGGCAGAAGCGCTTTAGCATGGACGTGACGGACGAGGCGCTGAACGAGATGGACGACGCCGAGGGGAATGAGGAGTCTCGACGGCTGCTCAAGACGAACGCGTCGACGTATAACCAGGTACAGCTCATCTGCTGAGCGGCGTTAGTGCGCTCTGCCTTGAGAGAAGGGTCCCTCGAACGTGCTTTCTCGAAGGCCAGGACGTAATGGATCGGCTCTCCTAGAATTAATGCGCAACAGCCACGTTCGTTCGTTCCTCTTGCCTCTGCATCAGCATCGATACCACGCGACAAATACACACGCCAGTTTTGACCTCGCCCCGACTCGAGCGCCCAGCGTGGTGACCAAGCGTGCGCTTCGCTGCACAGCGGCATCAACTTGCACGCCACTTCGACAGCTAGTATAGAGCAAGGGAGCCACCGTCGACGCCATCGAGACGTTGCCCGCCCTTGACAGCATCAATTCCTCCCAAGTCTCCCATGCATCCGCGCCGACTCGTCAAGGTAACAAAAAGCGCGTTTCAACTTATTTTTGTAGCCAAACAGGTTCGCCAGGGTTCGAAAACCTCTCAAACTGCCTCAAACTGAGATATTCCTTCTCCCGATCGGTCGAGTTCAACATGGCACAACCGATAACGCCGCGCGACGCTCAAGCTCAAGCGACAGTAAAGTAAGTAGCCTCGAGATCGCCGCCCGCACGCCTCGCCCCGCCCCGCAACCTCTTATGACCACGACGGCCACCGCCAAGCCCAGGGCCAAGTTCTCCAGTCGCAACCTCAGCGCCGTCTTCAAGGCGCCGCTGCGGACCAAGCCTCTGCCGGACAATGCCACCGGACCGCTGCAGCGCCCCAACAGCCGCATGGTGGTGCTGGGCCGAGCGGCCGTGGCGGCCCCTGCGCCGCTCAACACGCCCAGTCTGAAGAGGGAGAGCCAGGCGCACGACATGCACGTGAGCCTCGTGCCCGCGGGCTCCAACTGGGCCGAGCAACCCAAAGAAAACGAAGCTGCGGAGCCCGAGACAGCCCCCGCCGAGGTGACGTTGCCCACAGCGCCACCAGAAAAGGCCTGGACGCCCGAGAGTGTGGCTGAGCACCTCCACACAGGCAGCGCGCCTGTTCGACCCGAGACAACCGTCGAAAGCTGCGGTCGCTGGGGAGACGACGCAGTGGAGCAAGACATCGTCCAGAACGACATTCGGCGCCAGAGGCAGAAGGAGAGAGAGTTCCCAGACTTGAAGGAGGCAGTCGAGGAAACGAAGATGCACCACGACCCAGGCCAAGGCCATGCCTCTGCTACTGCTGACAGGTCGCCCTCCATGGGCCCGCAGCTGTCGGAGCAGCACCACGGAAGGGCGACGGGCCGCTGGGCGCACTTCAGCGAGCAGGAGGAAATGCGCCGCCCCATGAACGAAGATCACTGGTCGCGTGACCGCTATGGACGAGGAGATGAGGATCGTTGGTCACGCGACCGCTTCGGACGAGACGAGGATGATCGCTGGTCACATGATCACCGGTACGAAGACGATCGCTGGTCGCGCGATCGATACTCGCGCTATGACGATGGCTATGGAAGAGAACGCCGACCGTATTACGAGTCTTCTCGCGGCGACAGCGCAATCTCGCCCGTGCCCAACGACAGCCGCACTCACTTCAGTCGCAGTGATGCTCGATTCGACATGGTGGCGTCTGGTGACCGCGACCGTGTGCTGAGCCACAGTCCTCACAGAATGGATTGGGGAAGTAGTCGACTTGAACGTCGTGACGAGCGTTCGTCCTCCCCTGCTGCTCGCTTCCACGCTCCGCAGCCAGACCGATCGCTGCCTCAGTCTGCAGCGCCAGCATCCCCGTCACCAGCTCCATCGACAGCGGATACGACACCTGCTAGAGCGATGAACTGGCGCAACCCGTCATCGCCAGACCACGGACCCGATCGTGCTTGGGGAGCACCACGTCGTGCAGCCAACGCGTGGTCGAAGGAGGACGAGCCGCGTACTCCTGTGGCTGAGGAGGCCGGCAGCAGTACAGAGTCCTCGTCGCACTCGTCCGCGGGCACTAGTCCCAGTCCCACACAGCAGGTTCAGTTGCTGAAACGACCGAAGATGCTGTTTGATCCCAAGACTGGCGGCATGGTGAGTGCCGAAGACCCACCAGCAGCAGGAGCAGCAGCAGGAGCAGCAGCAACCAAGCGGCAGACAACTGGCCGCAGCGGCAAAGAAGGCAGAGACCGGGGGGCTCCGAATGCGTCCAAGGCGTCGGAATCCGTAGCGTTGCAGCCTGAAAGCGTTGCTCAGGCAAGCAGTGCAAGCAGTGCTTCTGCTGTTCGCAGTTCGGGAAGAGTGGATACGAAGGATGCGCCTGCGAAGAACGGTGAAGACGTAGAACCCGCAGCTTCACTCTGTCCCGACGATGGTTCAACTATTGCCACCATCGCTGTCAATAGCGTGGAAGTTGCTGCCGAAGACGCAACTGCGGTCGATGATGGACATGGAGACGCGACGATGAAGAAGACGAAGGTTGTGGCTCGCCGTTCGAGTAGTGGCAGCAAGCGCGCCCAAGCTCCGGCTGACAATCGTACGCCGAAGCCCAACCCGAAACTCAATCGGGAATCGCAGTCGAAGGACTCAAGGCAAAACACATGTAAAGTCACCGATCCCAGCCAGCGCGGCGTCTTGGCTCGGAGCGACCGTCGGTCTGGCAAAGCTGCGCAGACCCGCACTAAGGCGTCCGGCCGGGAAGTCAGGGAAGTAAGCACGCCGAAGATGGATCCTGAGGAAGTCGCGGTGCTGCAGCAGATTGCTGAGGAACCCAGCGGCGGCATCGTGGTGATTTCGGGCGAGCAGGACGGCATCAAGGTGAGCGCCGAGGTCGGCGGCTTCGAGACGGTCAAACCGCGACGAGTTGTGCTATCCGAGAAGAAGCAGCACCGGCAGTCCACAGAGGAGGCAGTTGCGCCCACCGCTCGCGCGTCTGAGCTCGCTGAAGGAAAGAAGAGCTCATGTGCGTCGCTGGCAGATGCTCAGACCAAGGGGGAGGAGGTGCACGATAACTTTGGCATGGTGGCGAAGCGCGAGGTCGACGCGCAGCGTGCGTCCAAGCCGCGTGAAAGCAACGCCCGTAAGCACCGCGACAATAGCGCCGAGACGCCCAACAAGGAGAGAAAGCCTCGGCCGGCACCCAAGCACCAGCCGAAGCAATCGTCGCACGGCCAGAAGAGCAAGCTGACGGCGAAGGCCGCTAGCCCCGACCGCAGTACCGCGCCAGCAGCGCAACCCGCCGCGAAGCCCACCGAGCAGGTCGCCGGTGAGGCCCCCGCCGAGTCTCCGGCCTCGAAGAAGCGGTCTCAGTACGTGAAGAAGGCGGTGCAGCCGGAGACGAAGCGGGGCCAGCAGAGACCCAAGAGGGAGAAGCAGGGCGCCAAATCGAACGAGCGGAAGGGGCCGTCGAACGCCGCCGAGGCGCGGAAGCCGGAGCCGGCGGCCAAGCGCCAGTCTCAGCGCGCTGCGGCTACTGCCGCCGCCGAGAAGGCTGCGGTCAAGGCGAGGCCCAAACAGGCGCGGCAGGTGTACGTGGTGAAGACGCCCGCGCCGGCGCCAGCCAGCGCGACGTCCAGCGCCGCGTGAGTAGAGGCAGGTAGTAGTGAACAATGAGCTGTGTGCCATGCGTTGCCATCTCGTCAAGTTGAAGTTGCCTTCAACGCGGAGGTCGGACAAATATCCTCCTCGCGCAACTCTCGGTGCTTGCTTGGGTGGACACGGCGGCGGCGGCGCCGGCTCTTGCTGTCCGCTTGAAGCGGGCGGGTGTATGGCGCACGCACACCGAGACGCGGCGTCGTTACGAAAGAAAGGGCACCAAAGGGGAAGAAAATTATCTGTACTAAAACAGTCCTAAACGTCCTAAAATATCCTAAAAATCAGCGTAATTTACCGAAATAGATTGCACTGTATGTCCTAAAAAGTTTCTAAAGGGCGTAATTTAATACCGTCCAAAAGAAATCAACCGGTTTTTACAGATTATTTACGTTAGGACATGTCCTAAAACCTTGGCACTAGCACTAAGGTTTTTTTTTCGTAGCGACTCGCACACGTTCACCAAAGACAAATGCGAGGGCCAGCGCGAGCCTCACTTGGTGCATTTACCTATCGCCAACATCCGCTGATTAGGCGGGGGCGTGTCTGTGCGAGCGAGCGAACGCGAGCGCTGCAATCCGATATTTTTTTTCCTTGACACCGGCCTGGCCGAGACGAGGACTTAGCGTGAAGCACGAGGGGGTGGGTCAGGCCGCGCAGCGGCGCTCCCGAGCGAAGCGAGAGCCCCCACCCCCACCCCCCGAAGTGCCGTCCACAGGCGAGGGCCAACGCGAGAGTGTCCTGCCCACCTCAACATCAAGTTAGTCTAGATAGATGTGCTTTGCACGAACTTTGGCATGCGATTAAGGGCTCTAAACCAACGAGCAAATCCTTCCCGGTGATCATATCTCGCAGCCTAACTCTAAGTTAAAGTTAAGCTAATCAACCGCCAGTACCAAGCACAACGCAGAGCAAGAACGGAGCGGTTGCCACTGCAAGAATAAATCGGTTGTCGCTGCAAGAAAACAAACTGATAAGGTCCCCGATAGAATGGTGCCAACTCCTTGTATAAAAGTAAGCACCGATTTCGGCGGGGACGTTTTCTTCTTCGCTCTCTTCGTCGTGGCCTTGCGCGTTAAACCAAGCTCGAATTTCAGAGCACGGCATATAGTAGCAGTAGAGAATTTCTACTAGAAATGTTTGGATGTGCAGGAAACGCTGACTTTAAAGCTGCTTGCAGCTCCTCGATATAAAAACAGGGATGTTCTTCAATATTGTAGACGTAGTTTAGTACGATAGATCGCCAACGCATGTCAATCATCGACTAGAAAGCAATTAGACAAAGCGAGCGAGTTAGAATTAGAATGTCAGGGCCGTAGTATTGTCGGATTTACTTTATATTTACTTTAACTCCAGCCATTCAACGAAAGTGAGCATAACTCAACGTTAACTCGTTGTCTTAGCAGCTATTCTATCTTAAATCGACGAGTTAGCCTCCTAACTCAATGATGGGCTAATCACCGTGATTTGCTAAAACAACGAATTACGTCGTTGTTTAGACAGAAAGCATGCAAGGCACAATACAATAAAACGTAAATCCCTGGGGAGTGTCCTAACTGTCCTAAAGTGTGTCCTAATTAGAACAACTAGGACTGTTAGGACAGCTATCTTAAATTACCGCTACCATTGTTTATGGAAGTATCATTTCGGTTTTCTTAGGACAGTTTAGGACATTTAGGATCGTTTTAGTTCATATACAAGCTCATCCTGGGGGTGTCCGCACACTTGTTCGATGCGACGACTAGCTCAATCCAACACGGCCTGGACTCCCACACACGATGACTGCTCGCCTCGGCGCGATCGCTGCCGGCCACAGCGTTGCCGCTGCTGCCGCCAGCTCCGAGCGGGATATCAGGGCGCTGACTACGGGGATGAGGTCGGTCGCCGCGAACAAGACCGAGCGTGTTGCCGCCATCCGCGGCCCGGCTTGAGAGGCATTCGGCAAGGCGTGCTTGCAGCTGGCCGCTATCGGGTACTACTAGCTAGCTGCAGGGCGCGGGGCCAAATCAATTTCAGAGAGGGCTGTCAGTGTCAAGGCCTTGACGCAAGAGAACTTCTCTAAGAGAAGGCAAGGCAAGGGCTCTTCTGCGGGCGGGCAAGTTGAAGCGGTCTCCGGAACAGCCGGCGAGACGATGGCCCACGGGCATGAGAACTCGTGTGCAACTCCATCCAGTGACGGGCGGGGCGAGTCAGCGCAGAGTGGCGGCGCCCGTGTGTCAGCAGCAGCCAGCGGCGCCGACGTCGCGGGTGTAGCCAGCACCAACTGCAGGTGCAGGTGCAGCCTGGCGGCAGCGAGCGACCATCGCGCCGGCGTCGACGGCCGGAGAAGCGCCTCAGGTTTGAATTTGCGCGCTCCAGACCAAGCCACTGACAGCCCCAGTCTTCCACTACTCTTCCGCCAGTCGCCACCACCGATGCAGTGCAACACCGCCGTTATCCCCACCACCACCGCCGGCAGCCCGGACTGCAGCAGCTCCGTGTCGCCGCCGCCGCCGCGCGAGGTGGCGCCCTTCCTCAAGAGCCTGCGCCGCATGCTGCAGGACGAGAGCGACGCCGTGCTGCGCTGGACGCCCGACGGCCGCGCCTTCGAGATCCACGACATGGACGAGATGATGGCGCGCGTGCTGCCCAAGTACTTCAAGCACTCCAAGTACACGTCCTTCCAGCGGCAGCTCAACTACTTCAACTTCCGCAAGTGGACCAAGTCCAAGGCCGTCGTCTGCACCTTCTCCAACGACTTCTTCCTGCGCGACCAGCCCGAGCTCGCCTGGCGGATCACGCGCAAGAAGTCGCTCAGCCCGCACGCGCAGTCCAAGTACCGGGCGGCGCGCGCGGCGGCCATGCCCTACTGGAAGCGGGAACACGGCGTCGTGCTCGCGGCGCCGTCCGTGACCTTCGACGGCGCGCAGATGCTGCTGCCCGGCCGCCTGCCCTTCCCGCCCGTGTCCGTGGACGCCGCCGACCTCCTGCTCAAGCAGCACGACGTCCGCCTCGCGCAGCCCGCGGCTCGGCGCTGCTACGGCGGCAGCAGCAGCTTCAACATGGCCGCGCCCTCCGACTCGTACGCCGCGATGCCCCACGTCAGCGGCAGCGAGCACACCGAGGCACTCGACTGGATCGACTGCCTGCTGCCGCCTACCACGGAGGACAGCTACCTGTGCATGTACCCGCCGGCCGCCAGTGTGGTGCCCTTCACCATGGGCAGCCCCATGAGCTTGCGCAAGAGCTTCGAGTTCGTGCCCACCAGTCTGTAATCGCCCCCGTGTAAGTAGCATAGTCTGTAGCAGCCTACGCCGCCGGAAGAACGCAATACGCCGCCCGCGTAGCAGCCACTCGAGTCTGTACGTACGACAAACAAACGCACATTTGTATCTACTTACGGTCTCGGCTTCCGTCGCTTGCTAGCATGAACACCGCCGCCGCAGCCAGCGCGGGAGAAGAGAGGCTCAACCCAGTCAGTTCCACCATCACCACGGCCATCACGCGCACACGCTACATCAGATACTCATCCAGAGCTGAGAGGCTTCTTCAGCGCTCCTCTCGAGGAGCAGTAGCCTCCGTACTCTCGGCCCTGGATTGACGAGAGCCTTTCCTGCCCCCTGTCCATCATCGCCTGAGGCTGATCGCCTCCCTCGCAATTAGATTTCGCCGTCGTCTGAGTCGGCATCACCGTTGCAGACAGTCGACCACCACTGTGCAGCTGCAGCCTGCAGCGATGGACGTGACTCGAGCTCTGGCCGCACGGCCATTAGTGCTCGCGCTGGAGGCGAGAGGCATCCGTCTCGCGCACGTAGGCCTTGACGAGCTCGCGGTAGCCCTGCGCCATGTCGGCGGTGGCGCGTGTACTCTGCTCCAGAGCTCGCGCGAGCGCCAGCAGCACGCTGCGCTGTTCGGCCAAAGCCAAGGACGGCGCCTCGGTGCCGCGCTGCGTCAGCTGCTGCTCCAGCTCGCGGACCCTCGCTGTCTGCTCCTGGAACATCATAATCAGGTCCTGGAAGCCGCGCGCCATGCCCGCCGCTGCCGCTGCGCTTTGCTCCACCGAGCGCGCCAGCGAGCGACCATAGTCCACAGACGCAGCGGCGCCGTCCTGCTCCCGGTCTTGACGACTCTCGTCCCTATCCCCGCTGCTGTCTGCGTCTGAATCAGCTTCGCGCTTCCGCTTCTGTGGCAACGTGTGTGTAGGTCCCGCAACCCCCGAAAACCTCGGCAGCGCCGCCACACTCACCGTCTCCTGCGGCACCACGGGCTGCTCGCGGGGAGCAGCGACCTCCTGCTCTGCTTCACCCTCGCTCAACTCCTGCTCCTGTTCTGGCTGCTGCTGTGGCTGCGACACCAGCTCCACCTTTGTGCGTCGAGGCCGCTGCCCCGCGGCGCCGACGTCGCCCACGATCGTCTGCATGCGGGACGCGTACACCCAGGGCAGCTTGCCCTTAAACATGTGCGCCTTGGGCCTGCGCGTCTTGATGTCGCTCCACCACTCGTCGTCCATGCCGGCGCCGTCGGCCTCGTAGCCAGGCTGCTCGCTCAGCCACAGGAGCTCGCCGTAGTCGCCGCGCAGGTTCTTGACCTTGACGGACACCTGCCTCTCCGTCCACGGCTGCTCCCGCGGGAAGCTCGCGTTCAGCGCGCGCGTGAGCTGGTCGCGCGCGTGGTCCTTGAGCAGGACGCCGTTGTTCGACACGTTCTGCGGGTCCGCGCGCAGCTCCACGTACAGATCCAGCAGCCGCAGAATCTCCGCCTCCAAGAAGAGCACCATCGCGACGGCAGCAACACTCAATACAAACGCCAAGTCACCCAAACCTGGCAAATCAAACTGTGGCGAGGGACAATAACCGGCAGCGGACGGTGTTCTTCGAGTTGAAGTTGCACTGGATGTTGCAGTCGGCTTCACTTGTAGTCCTGCAGCCCTGGAGCTGCAGCAAGGACGCACCAAGCCTACGCAGCCGCTAGCTGACCTTGATGATGTGTTCGCAGCGCGCGCTTGGGCTGAGTGGGGTATTTCTTGCTGGCTGCCGCTGCTCGTGACCGTGACGACACCACGCGCAGCAACTTTGCGTCCGGCGAGCAACGAGTCTGGTGGTGTGGATATGACCATCTTACGACCAAGCAAGTCATCACCAACTTCCAGTGCTGCAAGTTGCAAGCACTTGACGCGGTGGTGGCAATCCTGCAAGTCGTCGACCCTGCAGCTAAAACGTTGTCGGCACCAAGAACGCACTCCAGCGAAACACACCGCCTGTAGCCGAGTCATTCGTAGCAACTATGTGTCCCCACCCGTCCATCCGATGGCAGCAGTAATTGCCAAAACAATACTTCGACTGCCCCTCCGCGTTAACAACAGCGTTAGGCAACCTCCAACGCAGTGCAGCGCGCTCGCCTCATCCGTTCGTCCACACCGTTCTTCAGTCTTCAGCGGCCACAAGCGTGTTACTTGCCACGCATAGCCTCGCGGCGCGGCCGGCATCTCATATCTCAACTCTTCGAGTTCTCGACTCTCGTGCATCAAGTCACAGTCAAGTCAAGTCCAGGTTTTCAGGACGTACCGTCGCCCAATAGAGTCGCTTCTCGGGTCGTTTCAGGCTCCACACTCGACATTCGCCTCCTTCCCGCTGCGGCGTCCCGTAGCCCGCGCTTCATCGGCTAAGTTGAAGCGCGTCGCGAGCGAAGGGAAGGCCGTGGACGAATGGGCTGCATCCTGACCAAAGTCTGCCTCGAGGAAGGTGCGCGCCTCTTCTCTGTCGGACGCTATCTTGCAGTCGGGGAGAGGAGAAGAGAATTGATTATTCACGCGGTTGTGCTGCTGCTGGCTTGTGTCGTGTGGCTGTTGGATACTTGTGGCAGACCTGCTCATGCTCGGGGACGGCGCGCAGGAGAGCGAGGACCCGGCGCCGCCGCGCTCGCGCCGCCTGTCGCGCGCCAAGACGACGCTGCTGGTGCTGGACCCGGCCGACGTCTCGGCCGCCGCGGGGCTGCCCACGGCGCCCTTGAAGCAGCCGCTGCAGCAGCAGAAGAAGGCGCCGGAGGAGCCCGAAGACGGCGAGACGCTCGACTTGCTCGTGTACGCGGGCGGCGTCCCGGGCGTCGCGCTGGACGCGGACCGAGTGGAGCTGCCCGAGTTCACGGGCGTGCGCGACGGCGGCTACTGCTCCGCCGACGGGCGCCTGCGCTGGGGCACGCGCTCGCGCGCGGGCAACGACCCACTGCGGCGGCGCAAGGAGAACCAGGACGCGCTGTGTGTGTGCGACGCCCTGGCGGGCGACAGCAGCATCACCTTCTTCTCGGTCTTCGACGGCCACGGGCCGCAGGGCGCGTTCGTGAGCCACTTAGTGCGGGAGCAGTACCATCGCGCAGTGGCCGACGCGTACGCGGAGCTGCTCCCTGCGCGCGCGTCGGGCACTGGGAACGGGCCGAGCGTTCTGACGAGGAAGACCAGCGTCTCGCGCGACGTCATTTCGGAGATCTTCCAGCAGGCGGCGCGGACGGTGGTGGACAGACTGGCGGACAGCGCCATCGACATCAGCGTGAGCGGCACCACGGCCGTGGCGATGCTGGTGCGCGGGAAGGACGTATTTATTGCTAACCTGGGGGACAGTCGAGCTGTCGTCGCGAGGTACGAGAGCGAGGCGCAGCGCTACGTGCTGCACTGCGAGACGAAGGACCACAAGCCGGACGACCCGGACGAGTGCGCGCGAATAGAGCGCAACAACGGGCGCGTGTTCGAGTGGGGGGCCTACCGAGTGTGGCTGCAGGACGTGGACATGCCAGGGCTTGCCATGTCGAGGTCTTTCGGCGACTCGGTGGCCAAGACCGTGGGCGTGACGGCGGAGCCGGATGTGACGATCGTCGAGCGACTGCAGTTCAGCAGTACCGAGGCGAAGAACGACGAGCGTCCGGCGGCGTTCGCGGTGCTCGCCAGCGACGGCATTTGGGAGTTCATGAGCACGGACGAGTGCATCGATTTTGTGGCCGCGTGTATCGTGGAGTCGGGGATGTCGCCGCAGGAGGCGTGTACAGCACTGGTAGAGGAGGCCTGCGATCGATGGGACGCGGAAGAAGACGTTATTGACGACATCACTGCAGCAGTTGTCTTCTTCTGAGCAGCGATCTGTGCGATACGGCTCAGCACAAACTGAGTGTCAAGCCAGCTTCACGCGCGGGCTTGCCAGTCCTTCAGAAGGGATCGGCTCTTCAAGCCAGGACGAAGGAGCTTGTGCTCAAGTTGCAAGCATTGTTGCAATGCTTCCGATGCTGGAAAGTGCCATGCTTTGGAGGCAGCTTTTAACGCCACCGTCAATCCACTCTCGGGGCTGTACATGCGCTATCCCCGGAGCTTAGGACGAGATAGACAAATTGCTTTCCGAGGCGAGAGAGTATATTTATTCAGAGTAAGGCATGCGATACTGTTGGGAAGAGTTCCGTGAGCTATTGTGTGATCGCTCTGTTTGTTTTTGCGTGTGTGCGGTTTGTTGCTAGTTTGCTGCAGTCAAGTGCTGAGTGATGCCTCTTGGAGCCGAAACGGATGTCCTGAAGGTTTGAGGCGCGAAAATAGCCTCAGTACCGGCCTGCATGCTGAGGACTACGGACGGGGAATTCTTGTTGTCGCTGGGTCGGTGACGGCACCCTGTCCACACTCGTTGTCTTCCTTGGCAGGGGTCTTTCCAGTTGCCAGGCGGGGTCAAGCACGAGTGGCCGCAACTGTCCGAGTTTCGAGATCACGCAGTGGCCGGAGTTGTGTTGCCGCATACCCCAGCGCACGACCTTCTGGAGGAGAAAATCATGCGGGATGCCCAACGAACGGGGCTCTCTAACCTCTCCGTTCCTCGACGAACCTCCATCTTTCCAACTATCTCGAGGAGGGTTTCCCGTGCAATACAGGTGAAGCCCAAACAGGTCACGGAACCGGGGGAACATCGCACAGCTCACGTGGCTACAAAGCGGAGACCTCGACCACGATCTCTACTTGTTGTGATTGAAAGATTCAAAGGCTGGATTATTGCGAGAAAGATGTGGTGCACGCGTGCTAATATCGTGGCCGCTGCGAGCTTCGTGGACTCGACGTACGTCTTGCTGAGTGCGCCATTACGACTAGGATTTTTTTTCGACCCGTGGCAAAACGCTCCACACCACCACGATACGTGGCAACCAGAGCTAGTTTTGTTCACGATAATGGACGTGACCGGAAGTTTTCTGCGGGTTTGGAACTCGCGCGCGCAGTTGTCCATCGGTGTCCGCCTTATCCTGAAACAAAGAGTGAGCCAATCCGAATTGGCCCCCCAACAAGAAGATGAGGAGGAGAACGATGAAGAGCAACAAGGCAAATTTACCAGCACGCGCAGCATCCGCAGCACGACCAGCAGCGCCAAGAGGAGCACACTGCCGGAAGGATGGATTTCGTGGCTGATCTTGTTGGCGTACTGCATTCCGTGGGAAATTTTGGCGCTGATTGCTTTACGCGGACAGCACGTGAATATCCTCCACATCTTTGGAATACTTCGGCTTCTGACAGCCCACAACCGAATAGGTTCTCAGCTTGCTGCGGCGATCGGTGGGATACCTCAGAAATTGGCCTCGGGAACCGTAGCCAACGTGATGGTGCTCTTCGTCTATGGGGTATACTTTTGCCATGTTGCTGCGTCCGGGTACATGTTGATAGCTCACTGGGAGTGTGGATTAGAGTTTACGAGTTGCCAACTGACCCCTGATTCATCGGGATGCTGGGTGCTTCGCGATCGTCTTGAGAAAGGGACGCGTTTCCGGCAGTATGTTCGCACACTGTACTGGGCTTGCAAGACTGTGGTAACTCTGGGCCAAGGAGATCTCATTCCTGTCACGTTAACCGAAACAACGTATCGGATCGTGGTTCAGTTTTTTGCTGGTCTTTGGGTCACGGCAATCCTGACAGCGTACACCTTTTTCTTCACCCACAAGGACGCGAACCTGACCAGCAACATCAGCACGCGTCTCGACCAAGCGATTCATGTAAGCCTATTTGTACTCTTGAACTGGATTCGACAACTTATGCGGTATCCGCTCACTTTCTTGAATTGTTTTTGGTAGTTCCTGACAGCTCGAAAGGCGCCGGCGCAACTCGCAGCTTCAGTGGACACGTATTTCCAGTACATGCAGCGCACCCGCAACGGGGTCGAAGAAGAGCTGATTTTGGCGGCATTACCGCCACATTATCGCGCACAATGCTCACACTACGTGCGCTACAAAGCGATCGCGCCCCTGGCCATTTTTCGTCGACGGAAAGGAGCCTTCCTGCGTACTGTGATGGGGGCTTTGATCCGCGACGTGTATGCTCCAGGCCAGGCCCTGCTACAGCCTGGAGAAACAGACGAAATGTTCATTGTGGCGTGCGGTGAAGTAAAATTGATCGACGCCCGCGGCGCGTGTGCCGGACGGATGATGGCAGGCAACGCGTATGCTGAATACGCGCTGTTCGAGCGCCACCTAGCTCGACATCGAGTGGAAGCCGCGACTTTCTGTGAAGTTTGGTATCTGCCGTCAAAGTCCTTCAAGGCGGCGCTGGCGAAGCATTTCTCCAAGCTGGTGTACGCCTCACTACTACTGCAGCAGTTTGGGATGAAGTCCCTACCGAGTAGCGACGACCGCGGACTAAATCTTCACAATGACGATGATGAGCGAGTGGACTCGGTCACGTCCATGAAGGCTCAAGCACGACAGTCGAAGGTCTTGGGTCATGGAAGTTTGCTGTTGCAAGCCGTCGAAGCACGCAAGTTACGCGCCGCTGCTGCTGCTATTGCCGCCACTACCACAGCTCCGAACGCGGATCGGATCTTATCAGGAAGCGTGGCGCAGCTCATTCTCTCCAAGCTGCCGCAGTGGCGGATGCCCACTTCACGGTTTAGGAGGCGCTGGGCACTTGCAGAGTGCATCTTGTTGCTGTACCTCCTCGGAGAGGTGCCGTATCACCTTGCCTTCCAGCGCGGTTTTGGGCTACTAAATGGCGTTGCGGGACCTGGAGGCGATGGCACGACCCCAAGAAGCTTTCAGATCGCTAGTTTCCTCGTGTCTCTTTCTGTGGAGACGTTCTTCTACATCGACTTAGTGCTGAGGGTGTTCTACTTTGTCCGGGCGTACCCTGGGGCAGAATTGAATGAGGATTTTCTGGGAACCTCAACGCGAGTAGCAGAGCACGACGCAGCTCTCGGGTCGTCATTAGATGCACCGAGCCCAGCGCTGGCAACTCGAAGCTCGCAGATATTCCACCTCTACCTGCAGCATGAGAGTCTTATGCTCGAGTTCTTTGCGCTGGCCCCGGCCGCTTTGATCTGGGATATTCTGCCTAAAGAGCTCTTCAGTAGACGCAACGTCCACGTTTTCAGATGTCTACGCTTGCTGCGTCTGTTGAGAGTCCGGAAGCTACGTGGGAAGCTCCGCGGGGTTCTGACAGAGCGTGGGTACGGGCCAGCATTTCGACTGTTAGCGGACGTGGTGATCTTTTGCATGGCGACATCTCACGCTGCTGCTTGTATCTTCTTCGCGGTAGCAGACCGAACGTCGTTCGAAGGAGGACTGCCGGTGAAGGGCGTGGCGCCCCAGTCGCTATCGTATCCAATGTGTCTCGAGGATGCCACTCGCTTTGACAACTGCACTTGGTACATGTACGACCGCAGCACCTTTGACATGGACGCCCCGTACTTGCGCTCCATGTTGTGGAGTATCGTCCTGCTCTCTACGGTTGGGTTTGGAGATGTCGTGGCCTTCTCAACACGCGAGTGCATCGTGGACGCGCTTTGGATCTACTTCGGGGCCAATATCTGCTACATCACAAGCTGCGCATTGTCGAGCGTCTTGGCGCAGATCAACGTACTAACCACGATCCGCCATGACCGACTTGAGAGCATCAACGTGCTACTGATGAGCCCCATCATGGCGTCCGTGTCAGATGCTACAAAACGCACTGTTCGTAGCTACTACGAGGCGAAGTGGAAGCTCAATGGCAGTGCAGTGGGCGATCTCGAAGTTCTCGAGCATCTACCGCGTTCATTGCGCCGCGCTGTGTCTTCGCAGCTGTACGCGCCAGACTTGCGTCGCTGCGTGCTTTTCGTTGACGAGTGTGGGTTGCGCGCAGCCAACGCCAACGGAGACGCCGCGCTCTTCATGCAGCAGCTAGCGTTGATCATCACGTGCGAGCACTTCCTGCGCAACGTGACGGTGATCAAAGAGGGTCATTTGGCCAACGAGTTCTTCGTGATCCTCAGTGGGGAGGTGGAGTGTCTGCTCCCGCCTGTGCCTCTGGAGTCTCGTGCTGTCCCAACGAAACATCTTTCAGCAACGCGCATGACCAGGAAGACGATCCACCACGCAGCCACAGCAACCATGAAGCGCACGCGTGACAGCGCTCGGATGGCCAGAAACTTCACATCCTCGACGTTGCAGAGCGGGCTGCTCAAAGAAGGATCGAGCTTGATGAGGCCCTACATCCGCCCGCACTTCCAGCCCATCGAGGAGGAAATGTTCTCCGGACGCTCTCGGTCTTCGATGACGTCGCGCTCCTCCATTACAGCGTCGCGCTCGTCGATCACAGCGTCGCACCACGTGATGAAGCCCGTGCTCTCTGAGGCGTCTAGCGAGCGTCTTCCGAAGCTGCTGCGCTACGGCAGCTTAAAGCTCGTCATGGGAGCGCTGAGGGACCCCACGGTGGCAGATGCAGCCCCCGTCCCGATCTCGGTGTTGAAGCAGCACGACTACTTTGGGGAGGAAAGTTTGTCCGATATCGCCAAGGTGTACGAGGTGAGTATCCGCGTGGTGTCAAGTGCTCGGGTGGCTGTGATCAAGCGCCGAGACTTTCTTGCGCTGACCTCGCGCTTCCCGCACTACGTAGCCCGTCTCCGCGCGCGTAAAGCTGCTCTGCGTGACAAGACTCGGAGTTTGGTGGCGGCACATCGCGCCAATTTCCAGGGTGAAAGCAACAAGAAGATCGTTCGAGTGCTGGGAACCTGCTCGTCGCTTTATGTCGATAGCAGCAAGTCCAAGCTGGAGAAACGCGGGGCGCGCGTATTGGATCCGACAAAGGCGTTCGCTCGTTGGTGGCATCGCGGCATCGGCTTCATCCTCGTGTACAACTTCTACTTGATCATCTTCCGCCTGGCATTTCTCCCGTACCCGACCGCTACGACCATGGCGGTGCTTACAGGGATCGACTACACGCTGGACACCCTGCTCTTCGCCGACGTGTGTCTGAAGTATGGGCACTTGGGGTTCATCGAGTTCGGCGAGGTCGTGCTAGACCCCGAGGCGATTAAGAGTCGGTACCGCGCGAGTGGACTCTTGTGGCAAGACTGTCTGGGTATGCTGCCGATTTACTATCAGGGGGATACCTTTGTGATGGCATTGGCTCGCTTGCCGCGTCTATTACGCTGTCTGCAGCTTGGCGAGTTGCTTCAGGAGGTGCACACGGAGATCCAGGAGCGATTCTTGCGTGGCAACGCCGTGCTCTTGAGCGTCTTCGACCTGGTCAAGTTCTTCCTCATTTTTGTGTCCACAGCGCACTACATCGCGAGCTTGTACTACCTGCTAGGGTGGACGCAACTCGAGACGGGGCTGGCCACTACAAGCTGGATCTCGGTTGACCTGGTGCTCAAGCAGAACCCAGACAGCCCCATGGTGCACTACATGCGCTCCATGTACTGGTGTCTCTCCTCCGTAAGTCTTCTCTATGAATCGCCGACGCTGGTTTGCTGTATCTAACCCCGTGTTGCGTTGTATGTCCGCTTGCAGTTCACTGTCGATTGTTTTGGTGACATACTCGCGCGGAACTTCCTCGAGTCGTGCTACGAGCTGTTCACGTGTGTGCTCGGGTGGGTGTTCATCGGCCAGGTGATCGGCCGCATCAACGCGCTCATGATCACGCTCGACAAGGCGCAGAAGCATCGAAACGATCGCGTGGAAGACTTCCAACAGTACGCGAAGCAGCGAGCGCTGCCCAACCATCTACGACAGCGTGCCATGAAGGGGCTTGCAGCCCAGGCCCAGTGTCAACTAGAGCTGGATCTGCACTCCACGCTTCGAGACCTGCCCGGCGTTTTGAGAGCTCTCGTTGCGGTCGAAATGTACAGCGGCCTCCTGCAGCCGCTGCCTGAGTTTGCAGCGTTGAGTCTCGCCCAGCTGGAGGTCGTGGCCCGCGCGTTGGTTCTCGAGATCTATCTACCAGGGGACATTATCTGCAACACCAACCGTGTGGGCACTCGGCTATATATCCTGAAGCACGGTTGTGCTGAGCGTGTTGCCCCCCGCACAGGCATCGTGTTTGGTGCGCTCACGGACGGGGCCCTCTTTGGTGAGTTCTCGTTCTTCCTGCCTGGCGCTAGGCGGCTCTTCCTCGTTCGCGCTGTCCGAAGCTGCCAAGTTCTCCAGCTTCACCGCCGCGTCTGGGACCGCCTGTGGCCTCCTGCCATCCGAGAGCAAGTGGAGCATGCAGTGCTGGATGTGGTCACGCGCTCGTACAGACGGACGGCCTGGGGGTTCCTAAATATCGCCAAGAACTTTTACATCAAGAACGACTCCCCGGTGCCGTCGTTGGGGCGAAAGCGCCGATCGACCCTGACGCGACGTGCGTTTCCGGTCTTGAAGGCTTCCAAGCCCAGGGAGTCCATCAGACGCCCATCGAAGACTATTCCAGCTACGCGGGCCAGTGCTGGTGCGGCTAGCTCTTTGCTACCGACAGCGCCTATCACTTCATTCCGCAAGCGCGTGTCGGGATCGGACATATCGAGCGTCTCCGAGAAGGCCGATCAGAGCATCCCCGAGTCCTACCGAAGTACTCGTGAAACTCTCGATGGCGCTCCGTCGTCCACCAGTGCACCACCCGTGTCCGTGTCAACTCCAACCTTCATACCGATAGAGGTAGACTTCGCTTCCTACCTGCCCCTGGTTCGATTGTCAGCTAGTACGGAGCTACGCTGGAAGCGGCACGAGAAGCGTCTTCGAGCCATCCAGCTCTTCCACGTGGTTTGGGGGCACGTGCAAAACGACCTGCGAAGTCTTCGAGAGGTGGACGGGGTGACGAGGAGGAGCACCCGACGACGAGTCTCAATAACCGTGCCGCCCTCGTACGACGAGGCTCGGGCGGCTCAATCGGAGGATGGCGGTGGTAAGATGCACCGAGTGTCTAGTAGGCGGCGTAACTCGATCCAATCGGACCCGACTGATCTGCGATCGAAGTTTACGCTGTCCGCTTCGGAGGTGCGAGTCCTGGAGCAGCGCATGACGACGCCGCCGAGTGAGGCCAAGACGCGCACGTACCCCACAATGCTGGCCCAGACAGCAGCCTCCCGAACGCGTACAATGCAAGGCTCGCAGTGGTGGTCGCGACGGTGGCAACACACTGGCAAGGTGACTCCATTCGCCGCAACGGCGAAAGCGGCTGACGGCCAGCTCACTCCGCAGAGCTCGCTGTACTCGATTTGGGCGACTCCGAGCACGCGCGCCGCGAGGTTCGAGCAGAACGCGCGCTTCCGAGACGTGTGGGCCTCCATCATGCTGTCCGTGACGCTCTACTACTTGATTTCCATCCCGCTGCAGATCGGCTTCCTGGACGGCGTGCTCAACGAGATTGACAACGAAGTTATCGTCATCGCCTGGTACGTTGGCGAGTATCTGGTCGCCGATGCGGCCTGCGTCGTGGATTTCGTGCTGCACCGCAACTACTTCGTGTACCAGACCAGCAGCGGCGAGGCTGTGACGGACCCAGAACGGATCGCGCGTCACTATTGGAAGCATGGCTGGTACCTGGTGGACGTGGTGTCCATGCTGCCGCTGGAGCTCGTCATGTTCGCGGGGGTCGTGGGTCTGAGGCAAGCCGGCTACGCGCCTCCGCCCGCCACGACGTCCGAGTGGCCTCTGCTGTTCAGTCCGAATGGGGGGCTGGTCAACTGGCACACGTTCGCCTTCCTACGCATCAACCGGTTCCTGCGCATCGTGCACTTGCGGCCGCTGAGCGACCAACTGCAGAGGTTCCTGCTGTACGACCGGCGTCTGAGACGACTGACTCCGGGCATTTGCTACCTCATCCGACTCGCTGTGGACTTCCTGCTGGGGACGCATTGGCTGTCGTGTCTGTTCTACGGCGTCTCGTACTTGGCGTACGATGACGGGGAGCAGTCGTGGCTCACCACCCCAGACATGTTGGCTTTCGGCGACCGAGTCCGCGACTTGGCCGACATCCGAAAGGTGCCACTCGCCCAGTCCTACCTGCGCACTTGCCACTTTAGCATCGGTGCCATCACCACAGTCTGCTACGGGGACATTCTGCCCATGAACGCGCAGGAGACTCAAGTGACGTTGGCGGTGATCTTCATCTCCGTGGGCATCTTCAGCATGCTCTCTGGGGGCTTCTACAAGTACTTCGACATGGAGCTGGGCCGCCGTGCCGAGTACGAGGAGAAGGTCGCTCAAGTGGGCCACTTCCTGCGCTTCCACCGGTTCCCGAGCGATACGTGGCGACAAATGCAAGTCTACTTCGCTCTGTCGTGGCGTGAGAGTCGTGGCCGACGCGAGCGCGAGCTGCTGCGAGGCTTACCACCTTCCGTGCGGCAGGACCTGGCCCAGCATGTACACGCCAGTCTGCTCAAGAACGTGGCCCTCTTTACGCGCTGCGACCCCACCTTCGCGCGCGCGATCATTGCGGCTCTGCAGCACGAGTTCTTCGTGCGCAACGACGTCATCATCCAGCGCGGAGACATGGAGCGCAGCTTGTACATTGTCGAGAGCGGAATCGTCCTCATCTCGGCCGTGCGGAAGCGCCAAGTGCATCCTGAGGGCGAGGCCACCGTCGGAGCCGATGACGAGGACGAAGCTGAAGTCTCCGGCAACGAGGACAACAACTCGTCCATGATCTCCGTCAACGAGTGGGTCAAGGTGAGCGTGCGGGCGTCGCTGCGCATGCGCAAGTCGAAGAAAATGAGTCCCGACGCTCAGCAGCAGCAGCCGAAGGGCCCCAAGCCGCGACAGAAGAGCTTGGTGGCGCTCATGTCCCCCACGGGGACCGTTTCCGACATTAACAACCAGACGGAGCGCGAGGAGAAGATCTACAAGGGCCCGTTCGACTACTTCGGCGAGCGCTCGCTGCTGTTCGGCACGCCGCGCAACGCCACGTGCATGGCGCTATGCGTCACGAGTCTGTTTGTGCTCACGAGCGCGCGCTTCGAAGCCATTCTGGACGAGTTCCCGCACGAGCGCAGCAACAGCGTCAGCGCCTGGGTCATGACGCGGACGCCAGCCAAAGTGTCCACCGACGACGACTAAATACTACTACGTAGTAGTAGCACGAATAAAGCGGATTCACACAGAGACGTTTGCATGGTTAACCTTCTTCCTTTCGTCCTTGGTCGACAATGACTGGGTAGGTATCAATTCAAAACTATAAGGGGGTCAAGTCAAGGGTAGTAGACTGCAAACCGAATAAAAAAGCTTCATTCCTTGAGGGGATCCGCGATCAGCAAAATATTTCCGGTCAGTTATTTTACCGAATAGGTTCCGTAATATATAAATCGAACGTTCATTTCGTTTTTTTAACCTAGGGTATTCAAAGTGTACACTCTGTTGTTATCCGTACACTGTACACCAATTACAGTGCATATTTTCTTAATATACGTAAAAAGGATCTGTACAATGTTAAAACATTTATCGTATAGGAACAAGATAAAGATTCCATTGCAAACAAGCCGGTGAGCTATTATAAATATTGGTATATTTCAAAGATTTTGTTAACCAAGTCTATTTTTTATTCCTGATGCTAAAACTGGCTAGAATTTTACCAGTTTGCGCTATGTTACAAGTAAAATATTTTACAACGCGTTGTATTACATATAAGCATGCGACAAAGCTGTACTTGTACAAGTAATTTTTGTGGGCTAATAACAACTAGTGTACGATAATATCATCTTTTATTAAAAATCAATATTGTAAACGTGAGTGCTGTTATTTAAATTCTGCTCCTATCATTTGCCGTTACACATTCCAGACATGTAAATTGCTTTGTTTAGTTTTAAATAAAACTTAATTAAGCAATATTGCCGTTTGCAGATATTCTGTCCAACGCATGCTTATTATCTCGTTAATAATCTCAATTTCAATCCGGCCAGCTCTTAATTAAGACCTAGGTCTGAATTGTTTACTGTAAAATCGGTAATTGTGCCCCAGGGGCACTGTATAAGTACCCCATAGGCAAAATGTTTCAAAAAAGTTTAGAAATTACCGCAGTATACTTAGATCAAGTTTAATGGAGGGCACTAATCTATTTCCCTATCATATTTGATCAGACATGACAGGTGAGGCACAGTTAAAGGGTGGGGCACAATTATCAATTTTACAGTATCTCATTTAAGAGCCAAGCTTGGGCTCTGTTTCCCCGGCCAAACGCTTTTCTGCGGCTTGGAAACGCAGAAATGTCATTCTAGACAGGCCAAACCGAGTTTCTGGAAAAGCGGCCTCCACCAAAGCACAAAGCTAAAACAGCCCACGCCTATCTATTGCCCACTCGTATTAAGAGACAGGCGTGGTCTATTTTAGAGGTCTATTTAATAGGACAAAGTATTTGCAAGCAGCAATATACACAGTGGATTTATACTGATTTTCCTACATGTCAAGGGGGAGTTTGATAGCAGGAAATGTTTCTCGAACAGGGTACAGGGTACACTTTGGGTAGGTTTTGTTCAAAATTCTAAGTTATTTCATAAAAACGTTCGATTTGAAAATAACGGACCCGATTTGGAATTATTTTAAAAATCGGACTCGAAACACAATTTCCCCAATAAACAAACGCTAAGTACCATAAACCACGGGTTCATTGCAGCACACGGGTTCATTGCAGCACACGGCTTCAGTGTACCGTAAAAACTGTCCGTCATCGACTAAAAACAGTGCTAGATCAGCTACATGAAGATGACACACCATCTTTATTTTACTTTTCGTACAAAAAAGGCCTCATTATTTTTCAAATTCTCAAATTATGCGATGACTGACCAGGTTTAGTTTTTACGCGATAAAAAACTAAGAATTTGCCAGCAATTTATATAGGGTAGGATTTTTACGGGTGCTGCTGTGGTTTACGGTAAACGAAAGTGGTGTTACACATATCGACGGAAGATATGGCCTGCAGACAGAGAAAATGCACAACAAATCTTCCCGCGTATTCTATATGGATTTTACTATGGGTATGTATGTTTTGCCTATACGGACGCATATCGCTTGCACACAGCACTGATTTTTTGTATGGGTGTGTATACGTCTTTCTCTGTCTGCAGGCCAAATCTTCCGTCGATATGTGTAGTGTATTAAGAAGAATGATACTAACGAACCTTCCTTATCCGTAGGTACGGTAGTCATCCTCGACGTCCTTCAAGCGCGTGTCGATCTCGTTGACCCGCTAGCTGAGCTCCATGTTGGCGTTGCGCCGCTTGAGCATCGATTTCTCGACCAGGGGCTCCATGGACTCGAGAAACACCACCTTGTTGGGGTTGATCTCCTCCTTGTGCCGCTCTTCATCATCGTCCAGCTTTTCCTCCACGGACAAGAGCTCCTTGTATGCAGACGCAAGCTCCTTCAGCGCAGACGCCAACTTGATCTCCATGGCTTCCAGGCGTGACATGACTTCTAGGCTATCCGCCGGGGGCTGGGGTCAACAGAACGGGAGCAGACATTAATAAACATGGATTTAATGCAAATAAAGCCAGCTTGTGCTCCTTTGCCGGGAGCTCAGGTCCTTTCTTCCTCTACTTCTTGTTCGGACCTGAACATGACGCGCTATTGCGCTTCCCGCTGAAAACAGGCCTTAGCCGCTCGTCTTCGTCTTTATTTGGAACGTATCCTTCGTCACGAGTATCAGCAGAGGCCGCGATTTGCCTGATGAGCCGCGCTTGCGGTCGGTCGTTGCCGCCCTCCATGTTGATCACAGCGGACAGGGTCCCACGCTGACGACGTCGCAGTCCTTCGCCCTTGCTCTCTTTAGACGCGCGGACGAATTCCTGTTTTTAACATCATCAACACACCGGGACAGACCTGAAAACAATTGGAGCACTCTCTTCACAGTCAATGCGCGAACCATATTTGCTGCTGCAGCTCCTTTTTGGCGCCGTCCCCTTGGTTGGTGACCTGTGAAACGAGGCCGTGGCGTTTGCGGAAGCCCGCACCCCAAGAGCGAGTGATCCAAACCTTCGAACCCGCTTTCTCGAAGCCGTTGTTCGCCCTCTTCACCAGGAACTTGGTTCTGATCTTGGCTTGTGTCGCGAAGTCGATCCATGGTCATGCCTGTAGCAGCTTCGATGTCAGCGATGAGACGCATCTCCATCCTGGGGTACTTGCTGTAGCCCTTCTCCACGGATTGGGCTGACTCGTCGTCCGACATCTCGACGCCCGCCACCGCTGTCTCCTCGGTCGGTCCTGTCGTGATGAACGCTGCGATGTCTTCCGGTGTTAAACTGGTTGAGATGCTAACCTTACACCACACCAAAGATCACTAGAGTTCGTCAGATATTGTTTTCCCTGAAATAACGCCAAATAACATTTTGTTTCAGCCAATCATATGCGAGATCAACGTAAATCCAAATTTGCTTACGCGTTTTAGCCCGTTATCGTTTTAAAACTTAAACTTAAAACTGAAGAGATAGCTTGGCGCTGCAACTTACTCATACTGCTCTCTGCTTTGCCGTTTGACAGCTATCGGGACACTCTTCTTTAATTAACCCATTGGCAAAGCTAAAGCGACCAGAATACAGCTGTAGTCTACACTTTACATATTGTAACATTCACCAAGATAGAACAAGACCTCTAAGTGAAATGAAAACAACTCTTGAGACGATGGATATTATTCCATTCAATATCTATGCCACAAGTGCAATCAATGTAGGTTTATACCTAAAATAATTAGTATTACTGAGAACTACGAGTTCATAACTATAAGCAGTAGGAAAAACGAAAGTACGCGTTCATACGAGTAAATACCAGGTCGTACTCGTACATATTGGTATGATCTCGTTCTTTTCAGTATAAATACAGTAATTTGCCACAATACAGAAGACCTTATTTATGTACAACTTCTAAGATCAATAAGACATTAGGGTATTTTTATGAGTCCTTCAAAAGTGCAGAATCTGTACACGCATGCGATAGAGTCTAAAAGGTTAGAATATTTCCCATCTTCTTTATTGAGGCAGTCTTGGTAGAACTCGTATTTTTTGTATGATTCACTTTAAAACTCGCCCGGATCATAAATTTTAGAAACAAATGTCATCTTGGTACTGGCGTGCCTTGATTGGTCAAATAACGCCAAATAACTCTGAAGAACTTCTTCTTCGGGGGGGGGGCATACAAATGCCTAATTGGGGACGAAGTCCCCACTTATAATCATCTATCACTCCTCTTTACTCTATTTCTTACCTCGCTTTACTTACCTCTCTTAATCTGAGACATGAACGGTTAGGGTTTACATCTAGAATCACTTCCCCGGGCCAAAAATTGCGCAAAAAACCTCGGTTGAACAACCCTCTCTTGATCCATAGACACGCTTAACTGCGTAAAAACTGGAGTGACCTCTTCTGAGAAGGGGTCGATGCCATTAAAGTGGGGGGACACGATTTAGCCTCGACGATAAACGCTAATCAAACAGGCATCGGGAAGCGAATCGCGGGTTTAGATAAATTGCTACACTTTAGATCGCACCGAGCACAAAAAAACGCCGCCAAGTCCTCGGCTTCACTCTGATTTAGAGCGCCAAGTCAGCGCTTGCATCCATTACTACGAGTGAGTTAGTGCTGGGAAGAGTAGAATTGCTAAAAGAGAGTGCACTTCAACTTGCCTGCATGGATACGTGCTACGCAAAGCTCACCATGTCCAATACTCTGTGAAGCTACAGCCTGTTGCCTACAGATAGCTCCTGGTAGTGACGCAGGTGGTCTCCTTATACCTTGGCGGCCCGCACCCCACACTACGGAACTAGCTCCAAGCCACAACGACGGGTTCGTTCGCTGCCCTGCTGGTTGCTGGGCCCTCCTACGCGGACTTGCTGCCGATAGAATAGATAATCTTGCGATAGTGTAACAATTTTTAAATTGTGTTATTAATACCGGTAAGTGATATGGTATAAGTGATATGGTATGTAGCACCAGAGAGGAAGTACGGCGGGCATCGGGAGCCGAGATGCTGTATTGAGTACGCTGGAAAATCGAAACTGAATATTATAGCTTTTAACAACAATTATCCCTTGCTACATGTATTTTGCTTTGGGCTGTCGGCTACCACTAATTGAT